CAGAAAATTATAGGCCAATTAGCTTACTATGCCTATTAAACAAACTCACTTCTTGGACTGACAATCAAACTATTCTAGGCCCTGGTTTTAGGAAAGGCAAGTCCACAATCAACAATTGCTTGATACTCTCGCACTTTATTGATAAAACATTAAAATACGCTAATGCCAAACTGTATGTGGCCTTCCTTGATTTAAAGGGAGCTTTTGATTCAATAGACAGACAACTATTATGGGACAAATTGGAAATTTTGGACATTGATAAAAGACCGCTCCTCCTTGTAAAAGGTTTATACTCTGCTACAACATGCTCAACAATTGCTTGATACTCTCGCACTTTATTGATAAAACATTAAAATACGCTAATGCCAAACTGTATGTGGCCTTCCTTGATTTAAAGGGAGCTTTTGATTCAATAGACAGACAACTATTATGGGACAAATTGGAAATTTTGGACATTGATAAAAGACCGCTCCTCCTTGTAAAAGGTTTATACTCTGCTACAACATGCCAAATTCGACTTTCTCAAAGAGGGAAAGTAACCAACCAGGTCCCAATTAACAAGGGAGTGAAACAACGTTGCATCCTGGCTCCCTTACTGTTTGTTTGTTTATACCCCGCCCATCTAGACCGAAGTCTACTCTGGGGGGCTAACAATTAAAAAATGAAATAAAAACAACATAATAAAATAAAAAACAACAATAGTAATATAGTTCAAGATGAGGAATGACTATGTTTAACCTTTATATGAACGATCTCGCTCCCTTTTTGACAAACTTCAATGGTCACCCTCCGAAATTGGGAACTCGTCCCATCCCGATACTACTCTATGTCGATGATGCAGTCATCATTTCCCTCACTCATCCAGGCCTAAAACGACTGATTAATGGATGAGCAGAGTATCTGAGCAAAAATAAAATGCAATTAAATTATAATAAATAAAAAATACTGATTTTTGCCAAAACATGGAAACAATTTCAATTGAACCTAAATGGAAATCACATAGAACAGGTTAAACAGTATAAATACTTAGGTGTCCATCTGTTTTTGCACTCTCTGCTTCACATGATTGGCCGGTCAAGGTTGATAGCCTTAATTTTATTAAAGCTGGAAGGGAGGTCAGATCTGTATAAAATCTGTTATATGCTGGCGGCCAAGATGACTGACATTGTAGAAAGAGTCGCAAACTTCCTTGATACCATTGTTAGGAGATAAACTGTTGTCCCTTTAAGGATGTCTAACACTTTTCTGCCGTCTATTTGGGGTTTTTCCTATAATTCAGGAAATCAGTTTGTCTCGGCAGCATTACAAGTTTTCAAGTCCAAAATGATATATGTAATTACCTAACAAACCACCGTGACTATGTCCAGTTTTTACTTACGCCAATAAAGGTTTTATCTATCTATCTAACATATAGATAGTGGTAGAATATACCAGATGGGCGAGATATAAATTGAACAAACAAACAAACAAACAAACAAACAAATATGGGTGTAGGTTTACACAGTTTACATCTATGGAAATGTACACTTTACACAGTTTACATATATGGGAAACACATTTTTCCCTATATGTATTGTATATTCATATGTATTTCTCACTCATTCAGTAATGGCGGTCCAAAATCTTCATTGTTCATGCTAACTATCAAGTTATTTGCTGGAATATATTGACGCTCAGTGGAAAATATATTAATTTTTGAATATTAAAGATTTTTGTGAGTTTGCTTGGTACAGTGCACTATCTTCCACTATAGAGGTAGTGCACTCAAGTCAATAAACAAGCTTCCGGTGATAGTTTGACAGTAACATCACAGGCCCCAAAAAGGTTACCTGCCACATCAGAAGCTCATTTACTTGCTCAATGTGTTAAAGTGATCTATGCCACTCTTTATGGGACATACCTATCTGCATTCTGTATAGGGGAATGATAGATGATCTCAAGAGGATGCATGGACACAAATCTGGAAAAAGCCACTGCCCATGTGAACAGGGGATGCTGGAAACCCTTGTCCATCTGTTTTTGCACTCTCTGCTTCAAATCAGATATGGAAAAACACAAAATCCCATTTTGAAGCATGTCAACCTCCCAGGACACTCTGTTACTAATCTAGAAGTAACTATTGGAGAAAGAAAGAAATTACAAAGCCAGATTGGAGATGGAGATAGCTGAGGTAAATTTGATTTGCAAGTTCCAGAATGTGATTAAAGGCAGAAAAGACTAAGGATTTGTATTCAGTATAGCCAGAATATTTCTAAATGGCAATCACTGTAACTGCTACAGCTAATGGATGACATGCCCATTATAGGTTGACCTTGTGCCTGATCATGCACCCAATCATAGGCTCAGAACCTGTCTGGTACTTGCTCCGTGCCTTCTGATATAGCTACACTTTACTTTTGGCAAATTCCATGATTCCTCTTAGGTACATGCAAATCTCCAAAAGGATTTTGCTTAATGTAATTTAATAACCAGTTTTCTTTTTAATCTTGTCCATAACCAATGTTATTGATTCAGAAGTCGATTCAGAAAAAAATAAACCATTTCCTATCTCTACATTTCAGCACCGCAAATACAATCTACATCAAACAGTAAACTACTCAAGCTAAACCATGTTGTTTATGTAATTTACACACTGAAAGCTTATTACTAGTATTACTAATATTACCATCACTTTGAAATTTCACTTTCTGTGTCTGTATCCATTTTCACTAGGACCTCCCCCCTCTCACTCAAACAATGCATAACCAGGTGCTGTCAAGTCAATTCTGACTTATGGTGACCCCTTCCAGTATTTTCTATGTATGAAGTGCTCAGAAGTGGTTTACTAGATACTTCTTATGTAAAAACTTGCAATTAAATCTTTCACTCCAAGGCTGAAATCCAGCAGTAAGTCACAACTAGAGTAGGCCCATTGAATCAGTGGGGTCTTGGTGAGTCCTTCATAGGTTCCAACGATTCAATGGGCCTAGTCTAGTTGCAATTTACTATTGGATTTCCGCCAATGTGTCTGAGGAAGTAGATTATAATCCATTTATTTCACACTAAAAAATATGTTTAGTCTTTAAGGTCCCACAATATTTTTATTTTTAATTTCTATTTTGTTGTTGTTGTGTATGTTGCAGCAGTCCACAAGTGTTCTTGCATGGGCTCCTGATCTCAAGTCTTAAAATCTTTCTTAAAACCTCTTCTTCGAAGTTTGCATCTTATATATCATTACCATCAGAAAGAAACAAATAGATCATCACATTTTGTTTTTCTTTTCAAATTCTTTAATGTACAGTGTTTTGAGCTCTGTCATGCTATTTGATGAAAACCACAGTCTGACATTAGTAGCACTCAAAGTTGGGGTGTCAACTTTTTCAATCTCCTTTGCCTTTGGCCACAACTGTTTTGATTTTGGGCCACAGGTTATTTTCCACAGAAAATCAATTTATTATCTTGTTGCCCTTTGACAACAAGTTGATGTGACTTGTGTTTCAGTTCAATGCTGTGTTTCTCATTTTCCCCTCGTTTTTCCTTTGCTTGATGTTGAAGAACCATATCTCTATATGAATGAGTCTTTGGACATTCTGAATTGATATCAAGAAATTTCAGTAAAACATACATTGGAGATAAAATATGGACAGTAGAAAGACTGCTGCAAACATCTGAACAATTAGAAATCTGAATAATAGAAAGACTCACTCATAAAATGATGACTAGAGGTCCAAAGCCTCCATATGTTATGACGCATTCAGGAATTCTGATGTATGGGCACAGTGTCAGCTTTTCCCATCTGCATTCACTGTATGGAGGCTGAAGGTTTGTATGTACATATTCCTTTACATACTGCTTATTTACACACAGAAGAATTCTGTATGTACAGCAAAGCACCATCAAAGCTTGGCAGTAGTGATAAATTAAGACAAATGATCAGGAAAGTTGCATAAATCTGTTTGGATATAGTAACAGCATTCTGCTACAATGGGTGTTAAAACTGTATTTGTGAGCATGTGTGTGTTTGTGTGCACACATATATACATATACAAACACACACACACACTAACTGTATTTGTGAGCATGTGTGTGTGTGCACACATATATACATATACAAAAACACACACACACACACACACACACACACCTCTTTCAGTGTTGTTCAAAATAATTTAAGAAAACTCTTTAGACACTTACATGACATAAAATAACTTAATTGAATCCCTCAACAAAATATTGCTAGTATATTTACAATATCTTGTGCCATTGGACTGTGTAGAGAAGCATATTTTGAGTACATGAAGAAAGTATTGTTTCTCAACAGGGTTAATAAATTATAGGGGAGTTTGTAGCTTTAAGAATTCTGACTATGGTGGTGGTGGTGATGGTGATTATGTTGACGTAGGATATTTGTAGCTTTATTAAGAATTCTGACTATGGTGGTAGTGGTGATGGTGATTATGTTGACGTAGGATTCAGTATACTCATTTACTTACAAAGAATCCTGCCTCAGACCCTGGAAACATGCTACCAGTCAGTGTCCACTATACTGGCCTAGATATATCAACAGTCTAACTTAGTATAAGGCACCTTCCTTTGATCCTAAGTGTACATCCAGGAAGAGGAAAGGCAAAGATAGCATTTCAATATTGTAATTACAGCAGATCCTGTCTGAGTGCAGGACAAAAAACTCGCAAGACGAATGGCTTTGGCAATGGGGCTGATGACTCGCAAGACAAATGTTCCTATGGCCGTGCTTTGCAAGATGAATGTTTTCCATTTTTTGTTCCTGCCTCGTGTGCTGATTTTTAAATGTTTTTCTATGATGTTTAAAAAGTTAAAGTTTTTTGATTGAAAATTTTTAAATCATCTGCACAATATGTATGGCTTTAAAGAGCACTTAATAAACCCTTTGTAAACCAAATTTGACTTTGTTCTGACTTTTTTTGCCCATAGGAACACATTAATTAGATTTCAATGCATTCCAACGGGAAACTGCGTTTCGCAAGATGAATTTTTCGCAAGACAACATTAACCGTGGAATGAATTAGATTCGTCTTGTGAGGCACCACTTTATCAGAGTGCCTGAAGAGATAACATTGCCAGAGGAAGAAATAAGCATTTGTGCGATCTGATCCCAGGAGGTTGAATCAATTTGCTTTGAAAATCTGTTGCACCAGCAGGGGATGCTTAAGAACAGAAATATCCTTCAGGGTACACATCTGGATATACAGCCTTACTGGCCTCCCAGACACCATAGTCATCTGTACTTGAGTGACCTGTTAAGATCAGGCATAGGCTGAGTGCAGTCCTCTGCATGTCAATGGACTGCAAGTGCCATCAGTCCAAGCCAATGGTGAGGAATTCTAGGAGTTGCAGCCAAGTAACATCTGGAAAATTGCACTTCCTCCAACCCTGTGTTAAATGGAACTTTAATGTATTGTAGCTCCATCTAAATCTATACCTTTTTGCATGCACACAGACCTCTTTGCTGAGCTTTTTTCCCTCCAAGGGAATAGCAATTTATAATCCCTGTTTCTTTATATCCAGACACTGTCACTGGCTGAAGTGGAAGTTTAACAATGCAAGTGCCATCATGATTAGTGTTTCAAGCACCAGTGCTTGGCCTTTTACAGTTATGCCCACAAGGAATACTTTCACGTGGCAAAGAGTACACATGGGAGGGGCCATGAAAGCTGGATTGCCCATTGAGTTTCCACGAGAACAGAGGATTGGTCATTCATTGATTCGGAACAAGATAGTGAGTATTTTGATAGGTGGGCCCTGCCCATTTTGTTATTACAATCCCAAATTCAGCAGTGTAGTTTATGTTATACTTTATATTATACTGCAAATCCATTTATATCATTTGAGGCCCGAGCTCTTGATAACCAGTAGCAGAATGTGAATTTATGCCAATCGAAAAATATGCACTTTTGATGACATAGGGTGAAACTTAAGTTCTAGGTGTTGATGTTACAATTTGATTCACACATGCACTCATCAGTGGATGGACAGGCATGAGTGAGCCAAACCTATCCTATTTTTTAAAATGATCCTGGAAAGAAAGGAAGTGTTGATGAGCAGCAATTCTGGACCTACCACCAAGTGTGTCCTTAAGAGAGAGCTGCAACTCAACCTCGCTCCTTGATCCACTTGAACTACTAGGAACCAAGCTAGATGAGATATTCAGCTTATATTAAGAAACAGAGCTTATATTAAGTGCTTGCAGACATGTTCTGAGCTATTCCCACCACCGTGTCTTTCAAATTATCTTGCTTTATGATGTGGGTGGGTCATCAAATTTAATTTGCAAGTCTGATTGCTCAGGCATGCAGCTCTAAGGGCACCCTGTCAATGGAAGGGAAACATGTTTGCAGTTTCTAAATGCAAAAACTGAAAGTCTTGCCTAATTTGACTCCTAGATGCAGATTTTTCCACATATTTGTTTCATTCATGTTGTACCTAGAAGTATAATATACGAAGAGGCCCTTCGGGAAGAGGAAGGATAACGTAATTGTGTCAGCCTTACTCAGACTAATGGTGTTCATTAAAACCAAATGTGGTCAACTTCAGCAGGCTTGGAGGCCAAATTTTTGTTACCACGCCATGACATGGGCCACAACAAATCCAGAAATGTCCAGTACGGGCTGACTGCCTCGAAAAAAAAAACAGGAAGTGGCTGGGCATATTCTTCTGGGGTTATTTTGGAGAGGTGGTGGTGGAGAAGCTTTAGGGGACACCCATGTTCCCCAATGCAAAAATCTCCACTCCTGGATACATATTTGATATACAGTATTTGGTTAAAAATGGATGCTTTTGGACATTTCTGGGTCTGTTTTTAATGAACACCTTCAAAAAGGGGGGAAGGGGGTCCTTCAGGCAGTTGTGAAGGCTGCCAAAAATTCCCCTGAGGGCCACATGCAACCCCCATTAAAAATAACCCCAGCTCATCAGCCATGTATTAACTTGTTTCACTGCATGAATAAATCTCTGGCTGCTACAATTTGGACTTTCAGCACTGCTATTTTTATTATCTTCTTGGCACAGTGTGAGCACATTAATCTCTTACAAAGAGCTGATATAAGATCTCTCTGAAACTGGTATATTATAAAACAGTTTAAAAACAAAACAGTGGTTGCTGATGTAAAGCCACTACTGAAAAACCAACCTGTTGAGACCATTTAAGTTGACTTAATGTGACCAGTTCATACATGTGTGAATGGTACTGGTTTGTACAACTGATAGATTGCAGCGGACCATCTCAATGGCCTCCATTAAAAGCAAAGTTGCTTGAGCTGGCATATGAAAAAAGTGTTGGCTTTTCTTAAATGATGGTCCCAGCATCAAGTGGCAAACTGGATGTGAGAAAGCATGAAGGTTTAGACCTTATGCTCATCGTAAGGGCTGGCATTCTTCCCCAACCACAGCCCTGTCAACACATTTAATATAACTAGTCAGGGCCATTCTTCAGTGGGGTTCCTTCCATCCATCCCACATCCACTTTGATTACTGGAGGGAACTGTGAGAATCATAATACTGTGAGCTTCATTAAAGTCAGTGGTAATGGGAATGTTACCATAGGATGAGTCTAATGCAAGTACCAACTGCTCATTGAACAGCACAGGAAGACCTTAGATGTCAGAACTTCAAATACAATTCCATTCAGCAGAGACAGTCCAAAGAGTCACCTGTTGTTTAAATGCTTACCTTGCCTGATGATCCATGTTGGATCTTGGGGTAGTGTGAGGATACAAATAACATCCTCAGAATATAATGTGCAATAGAATTCCACAGGGATGCTAGTGTCTGTAAAGGCTGACACAGTCTCATGAATGCCCCTCAGAAAAGTGGCCCTCAATGCACATTGATGTCTGTGTGGAGTGCCTATGTCACAAATTACTTGGTAAGTATGAAAGTACTGTACAGGATTGTGGTTGTCTTCCTTCACTAGCCCAGTTAAGCATGGTGCAATCCCGGAAACATCCAACATGAGGCAGATATCATTTAAGCATTATAGCTAGACCTCAGGACCTTTTTCCATACATCCTCCCCAATATGGCTGTAGGATTTAAACTTACCACCATATTGGTTGGGCTAAGAGGGTAGGTCCTTAATATGAAATCCTTGAATCTTGATCAGATTTAGTGTTTATTAAAACATAATATCATCACCCAGCCAGGGTTTTGGGTGTGCGTTAATTTTGTGTAGTTCCATACAGTTGTTCCTGACCAATGAAGGGCCTTTACATGTAATAGTCATGCAATGGAATAAACCACAGGACATGGATATAATGTATAAATTGCAGTCAGGGAATGAAAAAAAAAAAACAAATTTTGAACATGTACATGCTCATCTGCCTTTGCCTATACACACAGGAAACTGTTGCTCTCCCAAGGGGATTATCTAGACCTTGCCAAAGGGATAATATTATGTCACCACCATTTGTAACCACAATTTTCCATAGTCCTGTTATTCTTGTTCTACCTTAAGCTATGCTTGAGATGTATTGTACTATAATCCTTTTTAATGGTGGACCCAGGAAATCAGTGGTTCTGAAAACAGGGGAGAGCCAAACAGAAAATAAAAATCAGAAAGGCAAAGTTCCAGTAAGTTTACATTTAGTACAGAATAAAGACATATCTACCCGTTAGTGCTTAGAGAATTTGTTTTGATACTATTAAAAACATAAATAAAATAATATTTTTTCTTTCAAATGTCCATCCAAAAAATTCCAGTGTCACTGGCAGCAATCAACATTTTCTAGCCTTTGTTTTACAAATGAATCCATCACTGAGATTATGCCCTTCTCTAATATTACAACTTTTGTTTCACAGCTGCCCTTTTTACCTGTTTTTTGTTCCTTTTCTTTATCAGAAATAAAAGTTTTTTTTCCAGCAACACTGCTGTGATATGAGTTTCTTTGTGAACAGCTTAATTACTCGTTTTAATAGGGAAAAAAGTCTTATTTGCACACTTGTTGTGTGCGTTATAAATTTGAAAATAACCTTTCTGGAGTGTCTTTGATCTGTATAATTTAATCTAAGAGAAAAACTCTACAACACCCAGACTGCAGCTGGAAAACAAAAAAAACAAAGAGAAAGTTGCTTTGGTGGAACAAAGTCACCCTACTCCATCCCATTGTTCCTGTATCCAATGTAGTCAAAGCAGCTAGTCAGGAATGTATACATCGTTCTTTGCAGTGTGTGTTATTAAGTAATAAGGAAGAGATGGATCCACCCCTCCACACACAAAAACAATTAAATGTGCAAAATGATGCTGTAGTTGTTTTTGTTCCACTCTTAACATATAGCGGTCGTGTCCTTCTTGAAGTTGCAACATCTGCTGTTATTTACAAGTGAACACCTCTGTCCGCTCACTACACGTGTTGCATTTCACAAAGCAGCACCAGTGGAACTTGCAGTTACACTGCCACACTTTGGTGTACTGGTGGGTGTTGTAACCCCTTCCACAGCACATCATGTCACACCCATCAGCGCTGGGTGAGGTACGGTTGCAGAGCCGTCCCTGGGTTCCCACACTCCCAGTGGAAGCATCTTCTTCGCAGTAGTTGGGTGACTTATCTATATATACCAAATCTGTTTCCATTGGTTTCTGGTAACTTCTGATTTGCTTGATCTTCAGAAAAGTGGGTTGCCTAAGCCTGCTAGCTCGTACCACTTCCACCTGCACAGCAGCATTGTATTTTTCTTTCAGAATATATCCAATCTCTCTGAATTTTGGGAGGGTAGTCCAACAGGTCTTGGTTGTGCAGGAACCAGAAACACCATGACATTTGCATTCCAGTTTCATTCTCTCCTCAAGCACCTGTGTACATAAGCAAAAAGAAACAGCATGAGAGAAATAGCTTCTTGTGGGCTGTCACATGGACAAGTGCCACTGGGAAAGGATAATGTTTTGTGATAGACTGTTGACATTAAACACACACTGATTTCAGCTCTTTTAACACTAGCTATATGCTTAATTTTGTTAAAGTCAATAGAAGAATAAATGCAAATTTGGCACAACCACTTTAGCTGGATCAAGATTTTGGTAGTAGCATTTGTTACCCCACAGGTACAATTCACCCTATATCCCTAGGAGATTATAAACATCTACTTCAAATTCTACCAGTCTAATCAAACATTTGGCACCTTCCCTTGACATTTTCACAAAGGAGTTGTATCCTCAGGATCTGTCAAATTCACACAGAATATCTGTTTAAGCAAAATTCAGTAATAACTCTGTGAGTCGTGCCCAAATAAGTGACTGGCTACATTAATTCATATAAATCCAGATACCAGTTGATCCTTGGGGTCATAAGCAGTTCCTTCATAGGTCAACAACTTGTGGTGACAGACATGCAACTAAGTAAGTCAGGGTCATGGACAGTGGATGACACTGATTTAGTTTCAGTCCCTCGACCAGGGCTGTTCCCAGAATTAGAGCACAAGGCAAATCTGTAGCCATAAACTGTAGCTGGTGACTAAATCTGACAGTCCGTGCCAGAGAATAGCATGAGTAAAAAAAGAAAGAAAGAGGAAAGAAATAGTCTTTCCAATCTAAGTATGATTTATGTAATTTTTTGTATTACAGTGGTGCCTCGCTTAACGAGCGCACCGTACAACGACGAATCCGCATAGCGATCCCCTTATCGGGATCGCTAATGCGGAGGCATACTGATCGTCCCATTGGGCAAAACTCGCATAGCAACGATCGGTAAGCATTTCGCTTACCAACCCTCGCTTTGCGATGCCCATGGATCAGCTGTTCGGCGGTTCTAAAATGGCCGCCGGACGCCCGAAATGGCTGCCGCTATGGAGGAAACTTTGGTGAACGGTAAGTTTAGGGCCCATTAGAACGCATTAAACGATGTTTAATGCGTTCCATTGGGTTTTTATGTTCCGTTCAGCGATGTTTTCACATAGCGAGGGTTAATCCGGAATGGATTAACCTCGCTAGGGGAGGCACCACTGTATTTTACTCTTTTTACTATATTGGAAGCCACCTAGAGTGGTCTTTTAGACCAGATGGGCGGGGTATAAATCAAATCAAATCAAATCAAATCAAATCAAATCAAATCAAATCAAATCAAATCAAATCAAATCAAATCAAATCAAATCAAATCAAATCAAATCAAATCAAATCAAATCAAATCAAATCAAATCAAATCAAATCAAATCAAATCAAATCAAATCAAATCAAATCAAATCAAATCAAATCAAATCAAATCAAATCAAATCAAATCAAATCAAATCAAATCAAATCAAATCAAATCAAATCAAATCAAATCAAAATCTCCCAGTATATCCAATCAAATCTCTCTATTCAAGAACTCTGTGAAATATCGAACCACATGACATAGCAGTTACAACTGAGTTACCCTTATATAAATAAAGCCAGCACAAACCTTCAGATGCTACCAAAGGCAAGTTTAAACAGAGAAATATTATTGAATGAGTTGTCATTGCACATCATAAGGACACTTGTGGCTTATGTGCATAGCAGAATTTGAAGCCCTGACAAATTACATTTGTAATTTATGTATTTATCCATTACTTAGTTATATTTATATCCCATATTTCTTTCAACAAGTTCAAAGTAACTATATTAATTGTCAGCATGTTGCATGGGGGGCCTGGAATATTATAGAAACACAATAGATTCCTGCTTCAGATTTAGAATCTTATCTGGAAAGCAGGAGTTGCAGAATGGAGTGCTCCCATTTCACACAGTCAGCCAGAAATGTGTGCGTGTGTGCGTGTGTGCGTGCGACAGAAATGTGTGTGTGTGCGTGCATGCGTGCATGCATGTGTGCATGAGCCACCTTCCTCCCACAAGGGGGGGGGGGTCATTAAACTATAATCATTCCCCTGCAATTCAGTGAGAAATTCTTATCAAGGAAGAAATTAAAACAAATTGTGTAACATGTATTGTCAATTTTGAATCAGGCATGTAGTATCAAATATAGGTTTTGAACATCTTGAGAATATTATCTGAATAAAATGTGCTTTAAACCCCCCCCCTTCAATAACACTTTGTGTATGTTAGTTTTGGCTTACTTTTTTAATTTTTTGTTTTTCTTGGTGGAAAGGTTTCATTTCAGACCAGATGCAGAAAATAACAATAATGTCAAAATCCATGCAACTGCCAGAACAGAAGGTAGCAGATTGGCAACTTTCAGACTGTTGTGTTTTTAGCAAGTAAGTTCCTTAGATCAGGTCTCCAAGTCTTTTGTTATTTTCAAATCCGCAATGTGCATTGGTGACCCAGACAGATGAAGTGCCTGTAGACTTTTTTCCAGACCCTGTCCCAGGCCTAGTTCTCATGCAGAATGGTGCACTATGGACTTCAGACTGCTTCACACCACTGAATACCCCTCTGCTAGGGGTCTGAAGACTATTAACAACATGACTTCTTATTGTTGATTTGAAACTGCTCGCTATGGCAAGTGTTGGAATCCTTAGTTCCTTCAAGATTCCCTTATACCGATGCAACAGCGAGATATCTGGCTTTCCCCTTCTACTTTAGGTCTATTTTACACAGAGAGAATTGAAGATATTAATTTACAAGCCTTGTCTCTTTGCAAATGGTTTATTTAAGTATGCACAAAGGAGGACAACTTAAACAAGTAAACTAGCTTATTTTATCACCCTGCCCTGCCTAGACTTCCCTTGAGAAAGGATCACTGGGATCTAACGTCCTACTCAAGGTCTGGTTGTTACTTCTTTTGTGATATTCCTTTTATCAGCAAGGTTTGTGCCAAATATGAAATGGACAGTGTGGAATATCAGTTCATTTTACGGAGGGAAATGATCAGTGGACAAAAGCTGTTTTGTTTACTCATTTGAGATCTATGTTCTTGATACTTTCTAGTACATAGGATGCCCTAGACCTGATCTCATCCCAGCTTTTTTTCAAATACAGTGGTGCCTCGCTTAACGATTGCCTCGCTTAACGAGGAAATCACTGTACGATTAGGTTTTTGCGATCGCTTTTGTGATTGCAAAACGATGGTTTAAATGGGTTTTTTCGTTTAACAATGATCGGTTCCCTGTTTCGGGAACCGATTTTCACTTTATGATGATCAGCAAACAGCTGATCGTCAGGTTTCAAAATGGCCACCGGCTGAACAAAATGGGCCCCCGCTGTTTTCTAGGACAGATTCCTCGCTTTACAGGCCCCGAAAATGGCTGCCGTATGGAGGATCTTTGCTGGACAAGCAGGTATTCAGCCCACTGGAACACATGGAACAGTTTTCAATGCGTTTCAATGGTTTTTTAAATTTCATTTGACTATGTTTTCGCTCTACAGCGATTTCACTGGAATGAATTAACATTGGTTCTTTAGATAGCTTGGACCAAACAATGTCACAGCAGCTAAACAATTAAAACAACCAATTAGAGTTCATGACAATGCCATTTCAAAAGGTGCCTGAATGAGTGCATACACAATGTGACAGCAGCTAAACAATTAAAAAAACCAATTAGAGCTCATGCCAATGCAATTTCAAAAGGTGCCTGAATGAGTGCATACCAGAAGATTGTGAATAGGTATACTTGCAAAAAAAAATAATCACCCAACTAATTTTCCCAGGAAAAATAAAGAGACTTTACATTTTGCAAAAACACATAGAGAAGAATAATTGGCATTGTCTCTTGTTTGGTTCAAGAGAACAATAGACAAGACAATTTACATCCCTAGAAAAAGTTCACTTATAAAAACTAGCATATCAGCTAGAAAGTTAGGCCAAAACCCTTCTTTCTGACACACAAGTTTTTGAAAGGAAGAGGATTGTAATTTATATATAAAACGTTAATTCTGGGGGGCAAGGAGAATCATTCAGTCATGTAAACTATCCTTTGCACTCTGAAACAGTACCGCCCAGACAAGGTTTACTGCCTCAGTTAAGAACTAAGTCGCAGCTACTGGTGGTGCAAATATGTCCCTCCCTCTATGTTAGACCATACCCTCCTATTCTAAAATACCTTTCTTCCAGCCTCATTGTTGTGTAAGTTCATCAGCCTCCGAGCACTCTTTCTGATTTCTCTTGCATCAACAAACCTCCTGGAGAATTCAATGCCGTATCTGATATCAGCGGAGCAGCCTCCCCATTTCCACCCTTCCTCTTGGTTGTAATAACCTTGTTTCTCTCTGTCACAGCCACAGTTACTGAGGTTTCCCTGGCTGCAGGCAGCGGTGACGGCATGTGCAACCCCAGCAGCAGTGATGGCATAGGTGAAAGCGGCTTCCCTGCTTCCTGTGGGGAGGAAAAATATAAAAATTATGGGGAGGAAGGCAAGAGAAGGAAGCCATGCTTCTTTGAAATCCATACAAGACAGCACAATTCTAAAAAGTAGGAAATGTTTATCAGATCTTGGAACAGTGACTTTTTGGATTGCAGCTCCCATGTTCCTGCACTCGGCATAGCTTACTAGGGATTTCTGAGAGTTGCAATCCAAGAAAGTAATGTTTTTATGGCTCTGGTATTTATGCTAGTTTCCAAAAGCAATAGTTCCTAGACTATTCGTTCAGTCAAGCTTTGTTCTCTTGTTGTTTAGTATGAGATCTAGCACTGGTCCATGAGAGGGTTTACAGGAGGTTAAAGAGCTTCAACCGCTCAGCAGTGTTTTGAATCTGGAACACTGGCTGCTCTTATTAGAGGCACCAATCAGCTGCTGGATAGTTAGCAGTGTCCAGCCAGGAACTGATTGCATTTCTCATGTACAGATAGTACATGTACAGCAATAATCCCCCTCACATACTCAGCAAATTGCCACCCTTCATTACCCCATGATATTCTCACGTATGAGAGTATCAGGTCCCCCTTTTCTCTCACCCACTAGTGGTAGAAGCCATTTTGTCTCTACAGCTCATGGGCACCTTGAGGATTAGGAGAATTTTGGCAAGGTAGGCAGTCATGCCTCTTGTACTGATTAAATACATGATTGCTGCGGGGTTTTTGGAGAGGACACCTCATGTTCAGTCCTGTACTCAGAAGAAGAACTGGGCATGTGACACACATGGGCACACACAGCACTCATCTGGTTAGGTACATGTGTGCAGAAATCTACTTCCACATGGATATGTCTTCTGGCCGCTTCAGGACACAAAAGGATTCGACTGGAATACAATAGTTACATATATGTAATTGATCAAATGTAGTAGTTATGGAATTTAATAGTCCTTGATTGTTGACAACTTACGAGATTTTGTACTGGATGTCCACCAAAATAAAAATAATTAGGAAAGATGCTTATTTAGATGTTTATTATGTATATAATTTCTATGCTGCCTTTCTTGCAATGTAGGAATCCACCACAGGGGCTCACAAATGATTAAAAAACAGCTACAAGTACAGTTAAAAATGATTGTTATAATTGTTTTTAAAAACGTAACATATAAATGTTAAAATCACTGCAAAACCTTTAAAAAACACATTAGAAAGTGTAAAACATACCTCATCCTACATTAAAAACCCTTTATCAGGTGTCTGATAAAGTTGCTGAAAGACTAGCTAAAAAGAAAAGTCTTTGCATGCCAGAGAGAGGAACAAGCTGGCTTTCCTGGGGAGAGCATTCCACAACCGGGAAGTAGCCATGGATAAGACCTTCCTTTGCTTCCTGTTGAATGCTCTTATGAGGGCACCGCGACCATAAGACATCCACACCCCCACCAAAGATTTTAAGAGCCATAGAGGCTGATATAGGGAGATACGGTTCTTTAGATAGCTTGGACCCCAATCATATAGGACTTCATAGATTATAATAGCCTCTGAACTGGGCCTGGAAGTAGGCTACCAGCCAGTGAAGCTGTTCTAACATGGACATTATACATTCCTTGCAATGGGCCCCAGTCATAAGCTTGGATGTAGCATTTTGGATCAGCTGAAGTTTCCAAACAGTTTTCAAATCCAACTCTATGTAAAGCACATTACAGTAATTCAAGCAGGATACAACTAAGGCATGTGTCACCACAGTCAAACCAAACAAATAAATGTGTAAACACTCTCTGCTACTGAATACTGTATGAGTATCGAAGCTCAGAGCCAAATCCAGGAGTATACACAAGCTACAAATATACATTTTCAGGGGTCATCCCATTCATCACAAGCTGAATCCCCATTCTCTTATCAGCTTTTTGACTGAGCAAGACCATCTCTGTCTTGTCTAGATAAATCTTCAGTTTTTTTTAAACCATCCTCCAGTTCATTTGTAACATGAAATACCAGTTTATAACTGAAACAGTTTCCTTGGAATTAAATAAAAAGGAAAGAGGGTGTGGGATATTGATGGCACCCAAAACTTAAACGTGAGACAATATGTCCCATTGATTTCATATATGTGTTGACTAAGATAGGGGACAGAACTGAACCCTGAGGGATCTTACAAACCAATGTCCAGGGTGTCAAACAGGAGTCAATCAGCACCAATTTCTAAGCTTGCACCTTCAGGAAAGCTTGTGACCACTGCCTTCAAGGCACATCCAAGCAAGGTGGTCCAACAGGATACTATGGTTGCTGCCAACAGGTCCATCAGAATACACTGTGTAGTTTATCCATGAAGGCATCATTCCCATAACAAGGCCTGAAGCCAAACTGTATTGGATCTAGATAACCAATTAGAAGTGGTGTTTAGAAACAATGCTCCCTCAAGTGGTGAAAGATGTGCATTTCCCAAATTTAGATGTGACATTTGTTTTTTGGGTTTTTTTACTCAAAATCCCAGAATTCACCAAGAATTCCACAAGCACAATTCTGGGAGTCCCAGCCCACAAACACACAACCACAGACCTTGACTATACACATTTCTTCGCCTCAGTATCTTGTATTTAGCTTTGTTTTGCAGTTGGACATTGGAAGGTAAACACAGGCTTATCTTGCAAGTCCTATAGAAGAAGTACTGTACAGTATGCATCTCTGAAATTCTATCACTAGAGGGATAATATGTTAATCATAGGGAGTATACATTTCCCTTAAGTGTTAGATGAATCCTAGATGTTGAGTTTGTGGGCTTCTATAGCACTGCGTCACATTCTAAGGATGTCTATTCTAAGTACAGGAAAGGAGCTTGATAAGTTTGAATGTCCTATAGAAGACGTACTGTACAGTATGCATCTCTGAAATTCTATCACTAGAGGGATAATATGTTAATCATAGGGAGTATACATTTCCCTTAAGTGTTAGATGAATCCTAGATGTTGAGTTTGTGGGCTTCTATAGCACTGCGTCACATTCTAAGGATGTCTATTCTAAGTACAGGAAAGGAGCTTGATAAGTTTGAATTTCACAGCAGATGCCCTTGATGCACCCTTTCTGGAATAATATGAGGAACAGACCACTGCCATCTTTGAAATTCACACTGTCACAAAACTCCACAAGGTAGTCAAGAGAATGATTTTAACCATTTCTCTTTCTTTTTTTCACAATAGGTGGGAGACATTCTTCTCTCCCCTCTGCCACTGCTGCTACCACCACCACATGCACTCTCTTCAAGAGGCTTGGCATGTCAACACTTGCCCTCACTCCAAGGGCTATTTCTGAGACCATTTGCAATGTGGGTGGCAGGACCTGTCCAGGTTGCTGGTTCCTGCTTTAAAATAGAAAGAAAAATGTGTGTAGTCAGTCCACGTACAACCTCATAACAAAGCATATTTAAAAATCACTAAATTATTTTTCCCTGTGGATCTTTTCAGAAAAAAAATCTGCAATGAAATAGGGGGGAATGGACAAGCAAGTGGCCAAATGTACATGGGGCATTAACCAACTCAAGAGTGATTCACCTATCCCATCATCTAACTTATAAAATAATAAGAATTTTCAAAGCTGGGAAACATGTTACTGTATGAATTTTATATGAACAGTTCATTATTAGTTAGCACCAGGTGCTGGATTAATATGCCCTTACAGCATTACTTTTCTTGAAGCTAAGATAATGTTTACAATAATTCAAAAAGTAATTCCTTAATGCTAATCATTTAAATGTCCACTATATCCTTATGCAAATTGAAGCCATATAGGAAAGGACATTCTCTATGATCTCTGTTGTACTGGTGATTGTGCAGAGCTATGTGGGGAGAGCCTTACCCTCCACCCATCCACAACAGGAATACTGGCCTGAGAGAATTTTATGAAATCAACTTGTTGAATTAATTGTTAGTAACACATTAGTAGCATGTCACTTTTCGTTCATCACATCAATTATAATTATGAAGAATAGCCAAAATGAGCAACCTCCCAAAGTAATTACCCACAAAGTAACAACTATTGGGAAAAGGTAATCATTATGCAAACTGCTAATTAAAATAACATGTTCTAAAATCAATGTTTGAAATTACACAGCATTATTAGCAGTTTATTAATTGTAGTGAATTAATTCAAAGATCTGGGAGTAATGTTTTCAACAGAACATTTTCTCTGGTTATACAATTAGTTTTGTCATATCTCCTAGACCTAGGTACTATGTCTTCCTTCTGGATTTCATGGTGCTATTGCTGGGAAATGGAGGGGAGCAATTTGTATCCATATCTAATCTGCTGGAGAAATTACATCACTAGAATCTAAACTTGTCCTTAATTGCAACAAAGCAAGGGCAGGAACCACCATTTCCCAAACGTGCCCTTACTGGATTTGACTTCAAAATGAATGTAAGTAGAGCTAGCGAAGAATGGCAAGGCTTCCTATGTGGGGAGGAAGAGAAATGGAAATATCGTTCTAAAAAACTTGAATCTAGCAGCAACAGTCAGTGACTGAATTGCTGATAGGAGCAGCCGTGGAAGGGGTGGATTAGCAGAGATTATATGATTTTGTAAAAGTATTAGCCTCACTCTCCCTCCTACCAAATTTGAATTAGAAAGTTCCTTTCAGAAGTTCCAGGCCAACACTAGTTTCAGATTTAGTATTACATTAAAGCATTCCAGATACAGCATAATATAGTTTTGTCCTGAATTTATTATACATAATGACATGACTGTATGATGGTATAAACATACAATTATAAAATTGTTAAGAATTGGCAGGAATGGCCAACCCCCTTGTGGATTGTTGTGGTATGGATTTGAATGGAGGATATATGTCCATATTAAAATTAATGAGGTGTAAGTAACAAGAACCAAATGCAGAATATGTTTTAATATGTACCCACATCAATAATTGTGTACAGTGGTACCTCGACTTACGAATGTCCCTGATTACTAATATTTCAACTTACGAACAGTTCCGATCGCAATTTTTTGCTTCGACTTGCGAACGGAGCTTCCACT